TAGACTGGAAACCAGAGATCTTTTTGCTGGGTATTTTAAACAGAAAATATAGTAAAGAAATACAGTACTTAATTCTACATACAACAACGGCAGCAAGAATAGCATACACACAGTTCTGGAAAAACGAGAATATACCATCAGAGGAAGAAGTGATAAAGAAAATCCTGGACAAATTAACAAAAGAGATAAAAGAAAAGGAAGACACAGAATACTATTTAATATGGAACAAGTGGTATGACTGGCTGGAGAGTAGAAATAAGAGAGAATAAATGTGGAAAGGTTAAAAGTGGAAAATGTGTGTATAATAATGTATGAAGGAAGAAAAATGCAAATAAGAAATAATGGAGCAACAAGGACAAATACTCTAAAGAAGAATAAGGGGGGGGGGAAATGTAAATAATAGAAGATTACTGTTATGAAATTGCTGTTAAAATATATACTGTGTATATATGTGTGTTATGTTTTGTTTTGTTTTGTTGGTTTAAATAATAAAAATTAAAAAAAAAACCACATGCAAATTTGTATACATAATAAAGGAAAAGAGAAGAAAAATAAATATGTACAGTACAGGATACATTTCCTGAAATAAAATATGACAGTTTTGATCCTCACACATTTCAGACATAACATTCACTTATATTATAGCCTGGGGATTTGTGATTTTGCCTGTGGCCCCCATTTCTCTTCTGTTGCTCCCAAGGCATGGAATATACTTGAAAACTGTCTCTCTTGCTCTTTCCCTTTTTAGTAAGAGGCTAAAGCCTCACCATTAATTTCAACTGGTTTCTAATTGGTTCTAGTTTAATTTTCCTCACTGTTGCTTCATTTCACGAATTAATTGCCTTTAAGTGACATCTGGAAGCAGCAGGCATGGTTGGTGCTTATCTAGAAATAAAAATCTCATTTCTATAAAGAAAAATAAGCTGAGCATTTTATAAATGTCATGCAGTTCATTTCCTGCACAGCATTAGTTGGGGACTGATGTAGGCATCTCTTAAAATGCAGTTCTCTGTATGTCAGATGAAAGAGTCAATGTGTGGAAAGAGATTTGTCCCCACCTACGTATAAGATTCCATCCTCAAGTGAAACTTATTCATTGCTACTCAGAAGGCAGCACAAAGGCCTTGTGAGAGGGTTTGAGGTCTTCTATCTCCCTCTGGTAACTTCACCTTCTTTGAAGACGTTTTGCAAAATGACCTTCATGCTCTCCTTGGACCGAGATCCTTTTTTCCTCCCAACTAGAAAATATATCACTGGATTAATGCTGCTATTTAGACAAGAAAGCACTAAACTCCATATACCAAAATATTTAAGTTTCTTTTCAGCTTCAGAACTTAAAAATTTAAAAATCACTGCAATGATTGATAATGGAAAAGCAAGGATGAGGAAACAGAGGAGAGTGATTAAAATCATCAGTAAAAGCCGACCCTGATTCTTCTGATTCGATTTAAGACACACTTTGATGAAAAGGACCACAGTAGAGAGAGTGATCAACGGAAGGCAAACAGTAGCAGTCAGAAGGAAATGAAGATTGGACAGTCTCTCATTTACAATGACTTTTGTGAACACCATAATGTGCACAATTCCAACAAGGAGGAAAGAGGAGGTCCAGAGGATGACACAGACAGCAGGGGACAAATGTTTTGGCCGTGAACAGCGATGCCAGATTGGGAAGAGGACAACCACACACCGGTCAATGCTGATGGCCGTCATAAGAAAGTGAGTATTGATGTACATCACGTCGGAGAAAAAAAAACAGATGAAGCTGAGAATACTTCCTAGCAAGTTGGCAAATCTATAGATAAAAAATATAAATATAGATGTGAGGAACCCAAAGTCTGCAATGGCCAAGTTAAGGATGAATGTGGTGAAACAGTTTCTCCTCATCTGGAAGCCAAGTAGCCAGATGATGTAGCCATTGCCCACAAATCCAATACAACAGGTTATTAAAGTAATGCTTGTCCAAGGAATCCCTCCTAAAACAGAAGGGGGGATCTCTTCTGTGTACTCATATGAGTCAATGGTATTGTTATACCCATAATAGGTCTTTGTAGCATTCAGATCTCCCAGGCTGGAATTCATCATGAAGCTTTTGTAATCCTCTGATTATCTTTTGGAGTGGAAGCTCCTATTAGAAGAAAAGAAAGAAGAGTGGATTCAGTCATTCCTGTCTCCTAAATAACATCAATATTGGGGCCACTTGGTGCTCTCTGAGCTTACTTGTTTTCTTGCAGACTTTTCATTACTCAAACTAGGTAACATCATCAGTGCTAGTCCCAGCACAGTGCTAGCCCTGATGATGTTCCCTAGTTTGGTAAAGAGATGGCTTAAAAAGCAAGCTCAGGGAATACCAAGGACCCCTCATTTCAACCCTAAGCTACAAATATTCTCCTTTATTGGTACCAATATTGCCATAGCTTCTAGAAGAAGGGGTCCACCTATTCTCCAAAGTACCTTATGGCAGAAGAAGAAGTAATGGATGGAAACCTATTAAGGAAACCTCAACTGAGACTGATATGACAGTCAACATGTAAATATCAAGTATAAAAACATGCACCCACCCAGTTCTCTCTCTCTCTCTCTCTCTCTCTCTCTCTCTCTCTCTCTCTCTCTCTCTCTCTCTCTCTCTCTCTCTCTCTCTCTCTCTCTCTCTTCTCTCTTCTCTCTCTCTCTCTCTCCTTACCTATATGATTTTAGGTCCTCTTCTATTCCCCTCTAAAAAAGGAATGGTATCTCTTGAGTCTAGCAGTGTTGAGGGGCATCACAGGGTTCCTTGGAGTAAAACAGGAAAGTGTTAAGAAGAGGCTGACCTGGCTAGGTAAGGGTTCATATGATCCTCAGCTATGCAGAAAAAAATTGCATACCAAATAGGCCGACATTTGACAGCATCACTCCATGGCAGTGTCATGACAGCACTAAGCTTCTTTTAGAAGACCCCCACCACCTTCTGCTCCAATAAACCCAGACCCTTGATTTAACTGGGTGAGATCATCCATGGTTACGGGGTGGAGTTTCATCAGTATGCAGATGACACCCAGCTGTACATCTCCACCCCGGACCACCCCAACGATGCCGCGGAAGTGATGTCCCGGTGCCTGGAGGCCGTGCGAGTCTGGATGGGGAGGAACAGGCTTCATCTCAACCCGTCCAGGACCGAGTGGCTGTGGTTTCTGGCGTCACGTCATAGCCAGTTGGTTCCATCTCTGGCTATCGGGGGCGAGTCATTAGCTCCTGCGGAGAGGGCCCGCAACCTGGGCATCCTCCTGGATGCTTGGCTGTCTTTAGACGATCATGTGACGGCCGTGGCCAGGGGGGCTTTTCATCAGGCTCGCCTGATACGCCAGTTGCGCCCGTTTCTGGATCGGGACGCCCTACGCATGGTCACTCAAGCCCTCATTGTTTCCCGACTGGACTATTGCAATGCTCTCTACATGGGGCTCCCCTTGAGGTGCACCCGGAGGCTCCAGCTAGTTCAGAATGCGGCTGCACGGGGGATTCTGGGGGCCTCTAGATGCTCCCATGTAACACCTCTCCTGCGCGAGCTGCACTGGCTGCCGGTGGCCTTCCGGGTGCGCTTCAAGGTGTTAGTAACAACTTTTAAAGCGCTCCATGGCAATGGACCTAGGTATTTGCAAGACTGCCTCCTACCAAACACCTCCCTTCGACCAGTCCGCTCCCACAGAGAGGGCCTCCTTAG